ATTTTGAGAACTGAAAAAAGATTGATTCAATCTGATTGAATATTAAAATTTTTGTGCATTAGATTTCATTGCAGTTACAAAAACTGTGTTTCAAGAGAACAGAGGTCACATTTTTAATGAAATTGGCAAATTTTCTTTAATATTTTCAAACTTTTACAAAAACTACATTTTCTTGCGAAGGGAGAAAAAGAAAAAAAATTTTTTTTCCGGGTGAAAAAAAAAGGCATTGAAATCACTAGATGCCGCCACGGACTAAAAAGGTACAGAAAAATGAGTTCTTTTAATTTAAAAATTTCTTCTTTGAACTTAAATTTCAGTATAGGCATTTTTAAGACATTGCTTGTGTGCTGGTGAACATGCCAATCATCATAGACAAAAAAGTGTAAACAACAAATTTCTTAAAACTCCAATACGTATCCTAGAGATATGTTTCTAAGTTAATTTAAGGATTAGCTGGATTCTAAAAGTAATGTACTTAAAACTTAATGTAAATAATCTACGCACAGTAGCCTGTGGGCTATAAGGTTAAGAAAAAAAAAAAAAAAAAAAAAATATTGCATCATAAAACAACTGATCTAAAAAGCGCGCGGAAAATAAATACGGAACACCAGCAATGCAATATTCAAGATTAAATAAATCATCTTTTCTTTAACCTTAATAGTTTAATATGATTTTAAAGAAACTTCGTAAAATGAATAATAATTTTATACTACAATTATAACTCATTTTTTTATAAGTTAGGTGGAGAAAAAAAAAAAAAAAAAAAAAGTGTTTACATGGCTTTTTTTTTGTTTTTATTATTTTCGTACTTGTTTATTGAGGCCATAAAATAATTGCACCAAATGTATTTTTATTTTTTTTTTTTATTATTACTCTGAATTTTACGAGTTATCTTCCGATTTTTCAAACACGTTTTTAAAAAACAATCTTACAACAGCAACGGAGTGAATTTCAAAACATTTACAAGTATATTAAAAATTAATAACACTGTCCAATCTGAAAGATAATAGCATATTAAAATTGATATGCAAGGCAGCAAGAATCAACTACTAAAATCAACTGTCAGAAAATATTTTTTATTAAATTTTCTTTTTAAGATTCGGGACGAAATCCCCGTATTTTTTTTACTGAAAAACTTAAGAGAGAGAGAGAAAAAAAAAAAAAAAGAGAGAGAGAAGTTGAATGCCCCCCATTCCCCAGTTAAAAGTACTGGAGATATCGAGGGGGGTGCACACAATAATACTTTAAGTTTCCCAATAAAATAATTCATTAATTAAGTGTAAATTTTTTGAAGCGGATAATTTTTTAGCAAATATTGTAACATAGGGGTAGCGATTTTTTTATTTCGGGAATAACGAATTTCCGTAGAAACAAAACAAAAAACGAAAACGAGCAAAAAAACACGCTTATTTCGCCGCGGACAGCGAAATTATAACGTGTCTAATTTCGTCAGACTAAATTGTGGTACTTTAACTTAGTCAAGTCATAATGGTAAAGTTCTTGATGTGGAAATTATCCCTGAAACTTATCCATCCAGAATTTTCAATATAATTTTCAGGTTTGCAGAAGTTTGAAAACCTTTAAAACCGTAGCTTTATGGTTAGAGAACAAAGAATTTATGGAAATAAGGGACACTTTCTTTAAAAGAAGGTATTTTTAAATTTATTTTTAGTCTCTTGTCATTTAGTACTTAAAAATTATAAAACTGTATCCAACATGATCACATTAAAATTTTGCTTTGAAATTTAAAAGTACGCTCTTCAAATGAAGAATTTTTTTTTGTAAACTTAATTTTGGTAATCTTTGTTAACGAACGGTTTTACTTTTAACTTTCACGCTAATAAACTGGCTAAATTAAAGTACCCGTTTTAAGCAAGCTATTATTGGATTCGAAAGTAACGTACTGGCATATTTTGAGATAGAAACGAACTTCCATAGAAACAAAAACAAACTAATCTTTAGGAGATACAGAAAAAAAAAAAAAGGCTTATTTCACCGCGAACAGTGAAGTTCTATCTTGTCTGATTTTGTCAGGCAATTAGAAAATTGTAATGTTTTTGGTTTTAAAATCATTTACAATTTACGCAAGAGAATTACTCTTGGATACACACACACACACAAAATAAAAACTTACCGTAATTTTATTTTCTTGAAATCTGCTGTTGCTTAAAAATCACATTAAACAATGCAACATTGAAAGTCGCGCATTTAACGTATCAATAGTTCTCCAAGATCAAATTTGGACTTCGATGGGAATCTTGAATTTTTCATCTCCGTGAATTCAAAAGTCGCTGTTCAATAAAAGTTGTCTCCCTTATTCATTCATTGTAAATAACTGATCAAGCCCAGCGAGACAAAGCGGAAAGCCCGTCCGAATTACACTTTAATAATTAGTTAAGAATTTTTAAATCTACTTAGATTAGTAGAGCAAGTTCAATAATGAACAAAATAAAATTAGAACTGTTTCTAAGTGCTTGGGTTTAAAATCGGTCCTTTCAATCAAATATCCTAAGTTAAGGATTAATTAAAAAAAAAAAAAAAAAAAAAAAAAGTGTGAAGAAAGAAAAGAAATAAGAAAAATTGTGAAATTCCACATTTGCAAATGTTGATCAATTTTTACTTAAAATTGTTTTTACACTAGTCAAAGAAATTAAGCCGGCGTATAAAAAAAAAAAAAAAAAAAAAAAAATCTAACTTAAAATAAAAATAAAAAGCAGCTGTTAACATTTAACAATAAAATTTTCCCACCTTGGAGGAAAAACAAACTTTCCATGAAGCATTCAAAACAAGAATTTAAAGAATTTCCAGCCTCGCCATATATCAGAAAAATGTTCAGCCGATTAAGAACTGCTTCTCTATTTTTTTATCCATGACTTGATATAATTAAAAAAAAAGTTGACATTGTGTTTTCTTTTTTAACTATCACATTGGGGGGGTCTCTTTATGTGTTTCAGCCGAGCATACCATTTGAATTTGATGATTTTATTTTATTTTTGCAGTTAAAAAGTTCTGTTCGTTCAGTTTTTCAAAGAAATTCCCGCCTAATAAAATTCTTTCAAAATTAAAATACTTTAACTACTTAAAGTAATATTTTTTTTAAGAGATTTCCAGAGTTTAAATCTGGAATTTAACCTTAGTTAAGAAAAGACGAAGAATTTATTTTCCAAAATAAAAACGAAAATACTTAAAAACGTAAGTAGATTTTTTTCTTCACTTTAAAAAAAGCAATATCTCTAGTTTCAAACTAGAAAGATACGATTTTTTTAAAACCCATTGTTGATCCATGCAGCAAGAATACTTATGAAATTTATTATTTCTTAATTGTACAAAGACACAAATACGGATAGAAACATTTTTACGGCATACTGCATTCGTTTTCCATGCAATGAAAAAGTGTCCGATTGTTCCGAATTGCTTGTATTGTGGATGATTGTTATTTTATTAGAAAAAATGTCAGGGAAAAAAAAGAAAAAAAAGAAAAAAAACAAACAATGAGACCTTTCCTGATTTTTTTTTTAATAAATCGCCATTTTGCAATGGGCACCGGCAGTGTTTAAGTTAGGAGTTTGTTTTTTTTTTAAACCTAAAGACTAGACAAAAAAAAATGAAAAAAAAAAAAGCCAACAGTCTACGCATTTCCTCAGTAAGATTTGTCTTAAACACGAATGCTGTATTTGTTTAATTTCCTACCTAAACATAATGAACTTACGGCGCGAGAGGGGAAAAAAGTTTTTAACTTTAAACACCAAAGTTAATGTAATTAAGAAATTTAACACTAAGTTCTAAATGTAAAATACGTTTATTGAGAAACAAAAGAATTTACGAATTATAAAGCAAAAGTTGTATTAAACAAAAATAAAGCACGACATGGATCTTAGAGATCATTTCGTTTATTGCATTGTAGTTTTTTTATATTTTAAAGTGAATTTCAAGTTTTTCCCCTCCTTAACCTTACATTTTTGTTACAATTTCAAAATGTCCGTTTTAAACAGAAGCAACTGGAAGCGGGGAAAAATGATGCCTAGAATCGGCGCCAAAAAATTAACTAATTCCTAACCGTCATTCGTCACTAGGGTGGAGTTCGAACTAATCCAAAACAATTTGGCGATAATATTTCATTAGAACGAAAAGATTGATTGCAAGCATAAACTAAACTTTTTAAAAAAAAAAAAAAAAAAAAAACTTAAAATTTTACAAGTACAAAAAAAAAAAAAAACCAAACAAACAAAAAACATCAATAAAACTTAAATATTGAACTGTATTCAGTTATTTTTCAATTGGAAAAAGCTGGAATAATTTAATGAACGTAAAATTAAAATTTACATTTCTTTACAAATTACTTTATTTTTTTTATTATTTAAGTATAAAAACATTGCAGTCAATTTTTTTTTTTTTTTAAATCCATTCTTATATAAAAGTCGACATGCCTAAAAAAAAAAGTAAAAAGCCACCATCGAAGCCATATTATTAAACAACAGTTGCTTCGGTTTCAAAGTGAAGACTTATTTTTAGCTTAAATTTTAATTTATGTATTCAGTTTATGTCGATTAACATAGAAAAACAACTAAGTAGTTAAGCGTTTTTAGTTTGCTTTAGTTAATTTTTTAAAGTAAAGACCTTTTTGCAGTTAACGAGTTCTTAAATAACAGCGTTAAGTTCAGTACTGTACACAATACTTAGCTTCATTATTTTCTATTATTATTATTATTACCATAACTTCGAATTCCAATGTCGTACGTCCCCACCAGAAAAAAAAAGTAGTTAAGCAAAATAAAAACAACAACAAACTGACAGTAAGGGCTTAACTCAAAAAATACAAATAAAACTTACTTTTGGGAAGATATGCTCATGTTTTATTAATAAATTTCCACAGCTTTCTTCATTCATTTAAGTTCATTATTTTCTTTTTCAGTCAATCAGTGTAGTCACCGTCCCAGAAATTTTTTTTTTTTTAATCAAAGAAAATAAAATAAAAGTCAATCCACAAGGAAAATTCAACTTCACAATTCGGTCTTTTCAGTGGACGTTTCTTCTTGCTTTTCTTCCTTTTTTTCTTTTTCTTCTTCTGGTTTCTTCTCTTCTTCCATGTCATTTACATTTTCCTTAGTGTTTATATTGCTGGTTTTACTATCAGGCTCCTCTTCGTTTTCCTCGCTCTTTTTTGAAGTTTCTTTTTCCTTCTCATCACCTTCTTCGTTAGGATTAATCTCCTCTTCGGAATCAGTATAGTCGACTGGTTCTTGCCCGGGCTTGAGCAATCGACCCACAAAATCGTATTTTTCTTCCAATTGAATCTGCCATTCTCTCATCCGACTCATTTCGGCCGATGTCAGGTCACTAAGGTCATCATTTTCGGACTTCAGGGCCGATTCACTCACCGTGAAAAGGGCTAGCGCTCTAGAAGCATCGCGCCCGGCAAAATTAGAGTAAGGGCCTCCGGGTCCGTAAAACTGCTTACCTCGGGTTACATCGTATATTCGTCCGTTGACTGCGATACAAATTCTACCGTCCTCGCCCGTGCCATCGCATTTCCTTAATTCATCCAGAGTCAGGTCTTTCTTCTTCATTCGGGGCAGCTCGACCTCAGGTTCTGGTCGTGGTCGAGGTGTTTGTCGCCCGGCTATGATCTTGTATAAGAGGAAAGCGCTGATACTCAAAAGCACAACATTGAGAGGGTTAGTAAAAATTTCGTTAGACACTTGTACAAAAGTGTCATAAGAAGACTCGGCCGCAGCCGTTTCTGTCGTCGTCTCCGGAATAATCTCCTCGCTACTACTCGCCATTTAAAACCTTTAAATCTTTTTCCTTCACACAATTCTCAAACTTTTTGAAAGGATTTTTGCAGATTTGGGGAGCCTAGGAACAAAATCTCTTGTGGGTGATCGCAAGGTTCAAGTTCTTATTGGTAAATCCAAAGGTAGGGGCAAACAAAAAAAAAAAAAGGTGAAAAAAAAAGAATTCAAATATAGAATTCTAAAGTCACTTCCCCATTATTAAACGATTTTTTCGGAGGTAGAGCACTTCCTTAGCGTTATGCTCTCAAAATCTTTACTTTTCTCTTTCCGACAGTGCGGGGAGTGAACTCTCAAAAACCGAACAAAACTCACACCCACACTTTTTTTTCTCTCCGTTTACAACTTAACGTCGTAGTAGCGAACAGTTGAATTCTCCTGCTTATTTGGTGGAAACGATGCTTTGACTAACTTCCAATGTAGTTTCTTCTACTTGGTATCCAATGTAGGACACAGTGTCCTAACCACCAGCACGCAAAAAACAAAGTTGCTGTTTTTGTTGTTGTGTCGGGCGCCTTATTGATGTCGTCATTTCCGGTCCGGTTTAATCAAAACGTGACCGGATGCAATATATCGGAAGCTTTTTTTTTTTTTAAAGTAAAGCGTTGAAAATAAAATATAATTCTAGTGATAAAAAATATTCATACTGACAGCATATGACCTCACTTTTCTGATAACATATCTTTTTCTTCTGTTGTAATCTGATAAGGACTTCTCTGGATGTTTGAAAAAAGAAATTCGATATTTTTAAACAAAATTTAAACATAAGTTAAGATTATTTTTTAAAATAAAATTTATAAATAGTTCTTTAATAAATCAGATTGAGTATTTTTAAATTAAATTTTATTTAAGTAAGTATACATAAAATATTTTTAAATTTAATACAAAAAAATCATAGACACGCACACACAAGATGCTTGAATTGACAAAAATATGGAAATATGAAGTTTTTTCCACAAATAATGTAGTTCAAACTTTTTGTTTTGCTATTAATTAATCCTTTGTGAAATCGCTGTAGAGAAATTTCCAAAGGAATAATTTTGAAGGAGAAGGCGGAAACTATTTGTTCAGTTAATCTTTTATGATCAAATTATAAATTTTATTTAACCATATTTGAGTAGCAGTCGCTTCCAAGAAATAATTTCGCGCCCTGCTCCGTGGAAATGATGTGAATTAATTTCATTGTGTAAACTCTTGCACACGTCCCTACTGACTTAGACCCATCAAATGACATTCTCTGATGACAGGTCTCTCTCTGTCTCTCTCTGTCTCTCTGTCTCTCTCTCTCTCTGAAAACGATATCAATTTTGATATGCAGAACAATTTTAGGGAGAAAAAGAACTATGACAAAGTGGGAAAAAGTTTTCGGACCTTAATGAGTCTGGCCATAATTTTAATTTTAAACATGCTACTTTAGTAGTTAAAAAAGAAAGCAATAAAACGAAAGAAAGTGCTTTAATCGCTAGATAATCCACAATAAATTTACGTCTAGCTAGATTCTTCTTACATTTTTTTTACCTTTCTTGGCAAATCTATTATTCTGGGATATTTAATACAAAACAAAAGAGTGATGAAAACATGAACAAAAAGAAAAAGAAACTAAAATTAAATGAAATCGGCTTGCGCCAGAAAACATATTTTAAAAAAATTTTAAATTCTCAGCGTCCCCCTTTCCTTCATGCGCACGTGTAGTCACACCAACAACATAAACATCACTTTTTTTTAGAGTCTGAGGATGCCCTAAAGGACGAAACGTGTCATCCGAAAACTTTTTACTTTGTTATAATTTTTTCCGTAGGCAAAAATTCGGATAACCGATGGGATCGCCTCTTCTTACTGAGGTTTTAGTTTGTTCTTTTAATTTGGCCGTTTCAAAATATTTTATTTGAACAAACATATTTTCAGATTTTGAATATTGATGATGATATCTTTAAAAAAAACATCCCTTAAAAATAAACTAAACAACGTCGAACGTACGATTGAATTTATTTGAAATATAAACAAACTATTAGTTTACAATACATTACTTTTCGAGTTCCTCGGTGTCATACCGCATTAAAAGTTTTAAAAAAACAAAAACAAAAAAAAACCTAAGTGTCTAAGTGTGTTTTTGTGTGTTTAGTTTTACGTGTGTGCGGATTGTACGCATATATTCTTCATAGCTGCTGTGTTATTAAAAAAAAAACATATTTTAATTTTTAGCATTATGAATCTGTTATCAAGGGACAATAATTAGCAAAAAACATGTTTATAATTTAATAATCAAGCTAAGTATGTTTGTGGGAGTATCAACTATTCATTACTAATTCATAGTAGTTGTAGTAAAAAATGTTAATAATGTCATGTCATGTAATATAACTTATGACGATTATTTCAACTGAAATAGTTTTTATTAAAAAAAAAAAAAGCTGAAAAAGTTGGTCACTGATCCAAATTAGAAAGTGTTATGGTGTGCTATGGCAGAAATCGACACCAATAACATTTATTTATTTCATCAGAAAATTAAAAAGCATGTCAATTGTGTGACTTGCTCTTTTGATTGTGGTGTCATTATTGGGAACATATCCATTATTTAAGCGACAATTTCATAAGTTTAAGTAGAGAGAAGTAGAGAGAATTCCCTCCAAAATACATATTTTTGTTGATAGTGGTGATGATTATAACATGAAGCAAAATATTTCATAAAGAACAAATCAAAATAAAATATAATATCTCTCTGTGAGTAAGGTTGAGATTTGATTTAAAACATTTTATATAAAGTGCTTCAATTGTCTTAAGACATCTTTTACAATTAGATGTTATTCGAATGACAGTGTTATTTACAATAATTTTTATGGGAGCAGGTAGTTGTGTATAGGTATTTCTTTGTTTAAATGATTTGTCAGTCTTCATTTTAATGATGTCGATATGTAACCTATATAGTTACTCTTACAAGAGTCACAGTACATCGATCTGAAGCAGAGTAACAATTGGATCATTGGTAGGACATATACGTAGTATCTAATATTAGTTAAAAGAAAATACAGTATTCCATCAAAACTATTTTTATCCTTCCAGTGTTGTGGGTGATATATAGGCCTGCAAATAGATATTGAATAATGGAAGACAACAAACAAAATGAAGAATTGAGTAAAAAAATATACTGCCAAGTTTATTTTCATTAGAGAAAATACATCAACAAAAATAATGTTACGGTGCACAAGGCAAAAAATATTTCTGTATGTTCATGTAGAGAAGAAGGACAGTTTTGATGGTTATTGAGAAGTGTTGTCCTGAAAAGGACAGTTCATTGCATATTGTTGCTACTGGCAAGGATGGCTGAATGGTGGGACTTGATGCCTCTGGAGATAACTGGAGCAGCAGCCGATGGTGATCTGGAGTTGCAGATGATGGGCCATCTGTCAGCTGCTGGAACAGATACTATGCTATTTTTTGAAACCTTTTTATATCCTGGATCAATTTTACAACAATTGCTGGTTAAGTTTTTTCTGATGATTGTTTTTAAAAAATGTGGGTGTACTGACAGAATATGACACCAGAAGCATTTTATTTTTTTCAATAAAGAACTGTTCATGCAATATCGATTCCCTGGAATGCTGTAAAGAGACATTCTTCTGCGAAATTGGATTTTGTTTCCATTAAAAGAATTCTGTGAAACCTAAAATAGATAAGTTGAAGGTGCGATATTTGGTGAATATAACAAATGATTGAAAACTTCCTGTAACAGCCTTTGTTTGTTCACTAAAGAAACATGCCATCTAGTGTTAACTTTTCTCTTAACTAATTTCCAGACACTTTTCATCAATTGTTGCCTTCAGTTACTCAAACTTGGAGCTGTACGTGTTCAAATGAATTATTTGATTCTCTGAAGGTTTCTCATAGTTGTTTTCTAATTCTACCATATACACAAAATCACCAGTTTGGTATTTGTTACAATAAAAAGATTCAATTATGATTGAATAACTGATAACCTGAAAAAGCATTCTCTGCTGAATATATCAGATACAGGAAAACTATATAGCCAAACTGTAACAACTTTTGCTTGGTTGCCAAAGAAACATGAGGTTTAGTGTTATAGAAATATAGTATTTTTCATTTTGACATTCAATATATATATATATATATATATATATATATATATATATATATATTGTTTATACATTATTTTTATAGATACAAATATTTAAGTAAACATTATTTCATAATATATGATGTCATTGGTTTATGTTAAAATATGCTTCAAGCAGATATGAGCATTTGAGAGAAATCAGGGAAATTTGTAGTTTAAAAGCAGTAATTCAACCTTGCTAACCAGACACTTCCTCTGTAGCTAAATGGTATAGCATGTCAGGCTATATGACAGTTCCATGAAGGATACAGGTTTGATTCCTATTGGAGAACATATTTTCTATGAAATTTCTCGGACATTCAGGCTGGTAAATGTTGTTAATACTGTTTATTATAAACAGTATTTACTTAAATATTTGTATCTATAAAAATGACGTATAAACAATAAATATACTAATATATATAGATATAGATATTTTAAATCTCATGCCATGAAGGCATTGAGCTCACAAAAATCACTTTGTTCCTCCAGCTCTTGCGGTCTTGACAGAGCATTGGAACATCCTCCAGCACCAGATTAATCGGCTGGCATCCTAGCGGACAATGCCCTTCCAGTGGCTGTGTTGTCTGGTCATTGCCAGTTTGCAAATAATGGGTCGAACTGGTTGATGACTTGTCATCATGTTGTCGCAGGATGTGACCAAGCCAGCAGACATGGTGCTGAGTGATGATTCAGAGGATGTTCAGCTGGGCAATCCTCAGGTGGATATCCTCATTGGATACAAGATCTGACCTGTGCAAACTCTTGATGATCCTGAGGGTGCAGGACTCAAAGCCATGGCTATAGGAGGTGAAGGTCTTGCTCAGAAGCAATACCTTGGTGATGTATTGCAGCACAGAGAGTACACACACACACACACACA